ATTAGATCCCAGTGAATTAACTACTCAGTCACAATGACTAAGGTGTGATTTTTCTATATTTAGTCATGAAATTTAACTACAACAGTAGGCAAGAGTGGTTGATTTATTTTAGAGTGACACTATGGCTAAAAAGAAACTCTTTCTTTATTTTTGGAATCTCTTCAATATGGGCACTAATTTGTCCTGCTATCTAACCTCAAGTAACTAATCTTATCCAAAGGGTACCTTTTATTATTATTATTTTTTTACCATCACTCTGTTCACAGTGACTATTAACAACTAATAACGTCACCTGCTTAATAACTTTGCAACAGCATCCACATTATGAAGCAGTTTCTCATTAGGAGAGAGATCACAGTAGCATTTTCAACACGTGAAGCTGACTTTAGCCGGCAGTGTTTCTGTATTTGCAGCATGTATCAGAAGACATGCTTTCTGCATGGACTACAAAAAAATCTATGTCCTGTTTCTGTAAAAACTGAGACAAGTCTAATATCACCAGCTAAGCTCATAATTTAGCTTTAATTGAATGCAATAACACATGCATACCCTGTCTTCTATTAGTTGAAAACAATACACTTGAAAAAAAGAGAATCTGACAGCACGTACAGAAAGAAAAAAACCTGGCAGGTCTTGGACCAGAATAGATCGATGCAAATGTGTGTTGCTCCAGATGACAGCACCGCTGGATGGCTCTGGACAATTCATCTGGTTGGACTGCAAAGTGATGAGATACGCAATATTGCAAAGTGCAAGATGGTGATGAAGGCTGTGGTGATTAATAGCTTAGCACGTAAAGTAGGGATATTCTCCTTACAGACCAGGAACCTGACAACAACACACTCAGCAAATTCTTTCAATTAAACCACAGCTCGACCAACAAAAGCATTTTTTTCCCCCAGAAATGTTTAATATACATATTATGGTGACTGTAAGTTCATATGGTAGATTTGAAAGTGTGGCATAAAGTATATCTCCAAAGTGGATACAAATTTCTGGCAGTAAACGGCCAGTTATGCATAATGACAGGGAGTAATGATAAAAAAGTACTAAGGTAGTACAATGATTGCAAAAGAAGAAAACACTGATGTGAATAATATCATTAATGTTTCAAGCATTGCAAAAGGTTAATGACTGTTATTGGTCTGTTAGGTTTTAGTAATACAGGCTTTGTGGGGAAAACAATTGAAAGTTTGTTTACAATGTAAGCTCTCTGGGATACTTAAAAAAATTATAACCCCAACTCTCAAATTCCTTTTGCAAACTGGGCTCTTTCTAAATGTACCTTGTCCTCCTTTTTTTTTTTTTTTTTTTTTTTTGGGGGGGGGGGGGGGGGGGAACCTTTTGTGGAAAATCAGGCAGTTCTGCTTACATGATTGATCTAGCAAGAACATCTCCGTCTTTCTGACATCTTTCAGAAGGCTTTTTAACTCAACAGACAGGCTTAAATATTTAACAGTCAGTAAGTCACAGAGAGTACTATTGGGCAATTGCCAGTGCAAAATCCACCTATTCAATCTATATTTCATGGTCATGAATGAGTGAAAGACTGGCCATTCTTTATATAACACTTTCATGATGGGAGGGGGACTTGTTAATGTCCATATACAGAAGTAAAGTAAGCAGTATCAAGAGGAATGGACTGTGCCATGGCTCTCAAAAGCAATTTCTGAGGTTTTACTAAACCTTTTGTAACCTTTCTAAACCTCACTGATTTAATTTGAATTGAACAAAATAAACTTAGAGCTGAACAAAGACTGGACTACCATCTCCAGACACTGCTGTTTCCTATGCTAACTGCCACATTTAGAGAGAGCTACACATCTTTCATTTTGAATGATGGTGAAACAGTACTGATTAAACTGATTATATCCCATTGACTAGTTGGTATCTAATCAGTTTTCACAGACGCACTTTTGCAGGATATTGAGGTTAGAGTATTTTCCACAGTTATTCTTGCAGTACATGCAAGAGGCAGCATGTTAAGTAACCAGCTTTACCTTGTCTTTCAGTTTATACATGTCACTCACCATAGCTCATGGGCTAAGAAGAAAAAGTGTATTAAAATTCATCATATGAACCAACTATCTTTAGGGAAATGTAGCCATAATGTCGGCTCCAAGAAGATGCTGCGCAAAAAACACAATACGCAGGAAGTACAGCGTGATCTGTGGTATTTTCAGGTGAGGGCACTACCTGTAATGGAGGGGCCCTCAAGGACAAATACCTATCAGAAGTAATGTCCCAGAGGACAATCTCAAGCACTTTTCTAAAAAGGATGAAAAATGTCAATGTGTTACTAAACCTTATACAGCAACTGTGTCTGGCCTCAACATGCCATTTAAGTTGCGTGGCCGTAGCGCAAATCCTAGTGCCAAGAATTCAAGACTAAAAAACATTGATTTTGTAAGAGAATGGATGTGTTTTCCACACAAGTAGCCTCATCGGAACCACTTTACTTTTGTATGCTAGAGGCAAGAGAAATATTCCCAAAACCTTAAATCTACTAGCTGAGCACTATGTGTCATAGCCTATAGCTAACTAAGAACAACATCTTTACATATTATTTGACATAACACAACGGGTGCATGAGTTTATGCACAGTATTAAGTATTAGGTCTGTTGATTTGGCTGCAGACACAGTAGCTGCTCATTTGCCCCTTTGCTGTCAGTTGCTCTTGGCACAACTGACAGCGAAACAAACCTAAACTGTGGACTTCTGTGCACACACGCACACACACTCAAGGTTAAATTTCAAGAGAACAGAGCATAAAAGAATAATGCTGTTCTAAATCTGCAGAAGCAAGGGAAACCTATAAAAAAATCCCATGTGTGATATTGAGAATTTCCTACCTTATCCAGTTTTAATAAACAGAACATATACACAGTATGGATAAAATGATTTTGATATTTATTTGCTTCAGAAATGACAGACCTCCTGCTAAGTATTTAGTCTCTTTTGTATGATCACACATATTTCTCAGCCCTCAGGGACATTCAAAGAAATCCACAGTGTGGTAGTTTTGCTAAAAAGAAGAAGTGTTTCAGGCTGTAGACGAGTTACCAGAAACCTCATCACGACTCGAATGTGTTTTGTAATATGCAAAAACAAATGTGACAGTAACAACTGGAGCTGATGTTCAGTAGTTTTTGTATCACAGCTCAATGTCTGTGGAATTAGATTACAACAGTCCTTCGGTATCATTTCCAGTTGCATCAGTATATGCTGAATTAACAACCAGAGCAATTGTCAGTAAGTTCCTTATCATGTCATGTTTGCATTGTTTTCAGGGCTTACAACCCATTTCCAAAAAAGGTTTGAATGGTGTGTATAATGTAAACAAGAGCAAAAGTCTCTGTTCTGGAAATCATTAAAAGCTCCCAAATTATGAGTGTGTAATATATTATATTATATTATATTCTTATTTATTTTTATATTTATATATTTATATATTTTTTTTTTTTTTTTTTTTTTTTTTTTTTTTTTTTTAAATCTAAGCTTCAGTATTGGTCATCTTAATATTATAAAGAATTAAATACAGGGTCTGACTGATTTGCAAATCAGGGCATTATTTTTTTACCTACATTTTACACAATGTTACAACCCTTTTTTTCTTCGGAAAGGAGGGCCGTATGGATTGATGGATGGTTAAAAACGAGCTATCAATTTTGTTGGACACACACAGATTTAAATTTAAAATTAAAATTGTTTACAAATATGAACCATGAATCAGGAATATCTTGAAACATGATCAGGAACAGCAACAATGGAGTATGCAGCTACAAAGAGGGGTCCTCCTACATGAAGGTCTGGAGCAAAGTCCATGTAGTGTGGGGTCTGAAGCCTTCCTCATATGTCTTCAGAGGGAATTTTTGTAGGTACATGACAATTATGACTAATATAGCTAGGTGTTGCTGTTAAATTTTTGTGGGGATGGAAATTGTAAGACAGTAAAACTTCTGTCTAGTATGACAGTAATGAAGCACCTTTAGGTAACTGCAAACATCCTGACATATAGGTAGAAAAATTTGGTCAAAAATTTCAGCATATCCTAGCCAATAATGGCCATCATGTTCAGTAAACTAATAAATTCAAGTAATGATTAACTTGCTGGTTTTTGGTTGGCTGGGCCTTTCTGCCTGTTTTCCATGTGGGTTTCCTCTGCGTGATCTAGTTTTCTCCCACAGTCTAAAGACATGTATGTTAGGTAACATACGTGTCTTTGGTGATTCTAAACTGGATGTGAGGGTGATTGTGTGATTGTCTGTCTCTCTCTGGAAGCACTGTGATGAACTGATGACCTGGGTGTACCCTATACCCCTCCCTATGACAGCTGTGATAGGCATTATCCCCACCATGACCCTGCGCTCAATAAACGGTTACGAAAACGAATGCCCTGATGACTAACTCAGCAAACACATTTAATGCCCAATAAAAGAAATCAGTTTGTTCAGGGAGAACAATGAGAGTCTTTCAATGAATGACAATGCTCTACTATCCAATGCCCTAACTGAATAAATTAAATGCCAAGAAGGACTTTATATAATCCAATGGATAATGAATAAATACATTAAAAAATAATTTAAGTAACAATCAAACCTTTGGTTCAAGGGCTGGTCATTTATTTTAAGAACTGCATCAACACTAATGAATCAATGAAAAATGTTCAGGGAGCAGCTCCCTGTACCATCTCTCCCTGATTATCAATAGCACTACTGGCTCTTACTTTGCCACAAAAAGGCACTAGTATAATACCCTGATTCAACTCCCAAATCATAAATCTTTCATCACCAGAAGGTACACAAAGTCAAAGCAGTCAGAGAGGAGCTTTGACCTTTTCCTGCTGGGCAGAGAGATGCAAGACACTGTAATGACAAACATGCTCTGGTTTTTTGTTCCTTCCTTCTTCCTTCTTCTTTTATTACTTCCTTTGCATACTAGTTAAAGTCACATGTGATGTTCTGTTTTTATTTCACCCTGTCTCTATATGTTTCCCTAGAACATGACTTGAAGATGAGCTGTCCTCAGACTGAGTTTGAGGAGAAGGAAAGTCCTCCTCCGGAGGAGTTAGAGTGTAAAATCTGTTATCAGCGTTACAATGTCCACCACCGGAAGCCTAAAATCCTGGACTGCCTTCACCGGGTCTGTGCCCGTTGTCTCGTTAAAATCCTGGATATTGCTGACAGTGCAGGCTGCATCTCCTGCCCCTTTTGCCGACACCAAACTGAGATCACTGAGCAGGAGATTTCAGCCCTGCCTGATGATGTTAACATCATGTCCCACTTGGTGATGCGAGACAAATCCTGGAATTCCGACCAAAACAGGGAGGTGGTCTTGACTCCAAAGAGTTTCTCCTCCTCCAGTCCATCTCGTGACTCATCCAACTGCCTGGTAATCACTATAATGGAGGTGCAGAGGGACTCACAACACTCTCCAAGCCAAAATGGCAGCTCAGATGTTTATGCTGAGCAAAGCCTGGACTCAGTATCTATAGGCTCTAATGGGCCAGCAGATCAGGATGCCTTGTCCAAGTTCTGTAATCATGTCCCACGCATCCTGGTCTGGCTTCTGGGTTTCTTATACTTTGGCTCACTTCCTCTTGGAATCTACTTGCTGGTGATTCAGAGAGTGACTCTGGGTATTGTATGCGTTAGCTTAGTACCATCAAGCCTGACAGTTTGCCTGGTCTATGGATTCTGCCAGTGCCTTTGTCAAGGCATGTGTGACTGCTCTTCCAGAGGGTGATGGGATCCTGAAAACCAGTTGTCCTAGGATAGGAAAGAGTCAGCCTGTGGGAGTACAGGCCTCCAGGTAAAGATGATATCCTCTCCTGCACAGGCATAACAAGCTGAGCAGTCAGTCACCTTCATGCAAACAAAAGGCCAGTGAGACAAAATAAGTCAGTTTTCAGTGATGTGCTGTGCTTTTGTTAGACGTACTTCTTCAACAGAGATACCAGCTTGGTCAAGAGAAACAGAGCCAATGGCATGGTCTGTCAGCAGCCTATACCGACTTTTCTGTGATGCATTTTTGTGACCTTTATTTGTTATGTGTTGTGTGTTGACCTAGTCTAACATAGCATTTGACAAGAAAACCTTTAATTCTCGACTTGCATAAAAACAACACTGACAGGAGTCCTGTGCCCTCAATTATCAACATTGTTTATGTACAAAAATCCGGGATGCAAACCTTTTTAAATTAAATTTGGGATTGTGTGAACTGACATGAATGTGAATACAGTTTTCAAAGCATTATAATGGTTTACAAGAAAGGTCTGTTTATTTACTCGTTTTTCAAACTCGTTTTAATTACTGCAATTGACAGCTGCCAACAACAAAAAGAAAAATAATTGGGTGTGATTTAGGTTGGTGGTTATCTATGGTTTATTATGAACTAGGCTGCTGATGAGCCTGCTGATCGTGCATGTTTGTTACAACAGTTTAATATCCTACTTGAAACACTGTTCCTCAAAGTGAGTGTGAAGGACAGGTCATAATGTGAGAACTGCAAACACAGTGACTTGACATTTTGTATGTTATCCATCTGGCTCGATTTTTCAGCCTTCCTCACTTTCGAAAAAAACTGTCTGCATGCAAAGCATGTTTTTTTGCCATGACAAAATACAAAACACCAATAAAAAACCTGTGACATGGCCATAATTTAATTGTTACACAAGTAGCACACAGGCAGAGGTGTGACGAGGTTCTTGCTGTTAGTGAATATGCATTTCTGCACCTCTAGCTCTCACGTCATTCGGGCTACTGTGCAAGGAAACAGTGCATGTGAGGCATAAACTAGGCTCATACCTCAGGTTTTTTGATACTTCCTGTCAAACAACACATCCTCCATTCAGTTTGTCCTTTGGCTTTAGCAACTCGGCTATTCTTGATTTTTTGGTACAGGTAACGTGCTTGTTTTGCTCAAAGATACTAATGAGTGTCGTGGTAGAAGCCAAATTTGCACATGTTTTGCAACAGCTGTCTTAATTGTCTGCTGCATGTTTAAAAAAAGGCTCTTCTTACATGTACCACCAGGAAATACTGACTCAACAAATTGTGTTTTAATTCAGTTTTATAAAAATGAAAGAAAGAAAGAAAGAAAGAAAGAAAGTCCAGAATTTTAAATGCTATTTTTGATCAAGTTTTTTCCTTTGTGTTGCAGAAAGAAATTGCCCTTAAAGCTTTGTTTTGTTGTAGCAGAAATTTCTCTTCTGCGACACGTTTAATTGTATCCAGCAGTGCCTGACATTTCCAGAACCAGTTAAAATAGTTTTACCATTTAACTGCTTTATAGGGGCATTTCATTCTGTAAATCAAACTAAATCAAACAAAGTTCATGAGCAGGAGAGTATAGTACGACCTTTGTTGAATTTAAAAGTAGGCTTTATTTTAGTCTTCGGAGAACATTTAGAGTCTTTTCTGTTAAAATGTTGATAACTGAGGGGCCTAGAACTACTATTTTTCATATATCCAATGACTGAAGTCGGGTAATGGTACATTTCATCAAATGCAGATGTAGCATTTACAATTCATTTGAGTGATAAACTTTTTCTCTGTTCTGTATGTCCTGATGATTTTCTGTCATTTGTGCTCTATATTTTTATTTCTTGGATTTCCTTTGTCAACTGCTCTATCTGTTGCTGTACATTTTATCTTTTATGATTTCCTGTATTTCTGCTTATGATACAGTGACTGCAGCTTAGCACTATGCTACCGAGCACAGACGCTACTAGGCAATTAAATAAATTGAACTATTTTCTTCTATAGGTTGCTCGTGTGCATACTTTTCCTCCTGCTACCTCCTGTCTGATTTTTGTGAAATTTTTCATAGGTAGTGTTTTTAAGCTTAGAGATACAAGATGCCGTCAAACCAATAAAATCATAAAGGCAAGAGATTATATGTGATTTCACAAAACACCGCTGTGTTCGTAGAAGTGGGATTTTTAATCTTTAGAAGATTTCTAGAGACTCTAAACTCAATTTTTGACATGATTATCTCCAAACCTTCCAAAGCTTGATGAGACTCAATATTACTGCCAGGTGTGAGGATAAGAAAAAAGGATAACAATTTCATTCTCTTTTGAATAATGGCAACTGAGAATTACTACTTTGACAAAGATCTTTCATTTTTTAGTGGCATACTATTGTGCAATATTATTTTCACCAAAGATAGCCAGTAAATATGCCACAATGAGCTTAGACTTGATGAGGAAAAATGATCTGAACAGACATAAGAAGAAGAAACGATTCTTAGAAGAGATATTAGTTATGACAGATATCAGCAGCAGGTCAGAAAAGAGGAACAGAGTTATTATTTTTGCTCTATTTGGTAAGATCTGTTACAAAGACTTCGTGTCAGTCAAGTGTTTGTCCTGCTTGTTGTACAATACAACATCTAAAGGACCCTGCCTTTCATCTTCCTGAGTTGAGTGACAGCTTCCATTAAAAAAAAACCCAGTCTCCCTCCTTACATCTGAAAAGACAAATATGAAATTGGTCCACATATAGGACAGCCTTGAGTATGACAAAACTCTGTGTGGGTAATTCAATGAGCTCACTGTCATTATTTTCCTTAGCAACCGTTTCTCTTGCTTTGAAAATGGTACTAATTAGCATAGTCTGTGGTTTATGGTTTTCAGCTGTCAAACACAATTAGCCAAATTGACTCACTCAGGCCATTCTTGAACAGTAGGCACAAAGAAGGAGGAGGGTCAAAGGTCAGCACACCAGGAGGGTAGAACAAATAAATATCCTATGTGATCCTATTATGTAGAGTAATCACTTCTGTAAATGTTCATATAAATGCGATGATGGGGGGGAAAGTGGAGGAGAATATTATAGAGTGGAGGAGAATATTAAAGCGGAAAAAAGTCATCCCACACTGACGTCAAGCAGCAGAATGGGTCAAACCTGTGACCTGGCTATATTTATACATGCACTCACTAAAATATTTAACATTTTCAGGTGTATCCAGGAGATGGAGGAGCATGAATTTTAATTACATATGAATAATGTAGTCACAATCTGTTTCTCTTTATAGCACACACTTAATGCACAATCCCTATTTTTTCAACTCATTAGGTGGCAACACATATTACAATCACCGCAGGCTGACAGTAATCACCAAGAGCAAGAGCTGTTCATTAAAAAGAAAGCAACTGTTAGTACCTGCTAGTATTTCACGTTTGTATTAAAACGGAACCTGTGATAGAAAACCTCTGATCTCAATCAGTTATCATCTATTTAAGTAACTGAGCTTTTAGAGCAAGTCCACATAAGCTGCAATGAGAGAAAGAACAAAAAGGACTTTAGCAGGTGTGAAGATAAGAAGACAAGAATAACCTTCACAATTCCATTTTGATGCTTTTCATTGAAAAAAAAAAGCCTTTTTGTGGACTCTTCATACCTTCTGAAGAGTGAACTACATTAAGTCATGTTGAAGTTTTATGTGACAACATAATGCAGAGTTGCCTGGGTTGAGGTCGGGTACTAAAGGTTCCTGCCTGGTAATTCAACACTCAAGTCTAATCTTTCCTGAGGATAAACTTCATTCATTCATTCATTCTCACAAAGAGTGAAAAAGCTTACTTCCCTATTGCTGTTATTGTATACGTTTCTGCTGTTACAAATGTTTGCCTTGATTTGCCCTCGATGTTTTCCAATTCTAAAAACTTGTGACTTGTTTATGTTTATGTGCACCAAATCCTGTTATCATGTGGCCTAGACAACTTCAAAGATTGGTTTATCTGGTCATTTTAACATTAGTGGGTTTTTACCCCTTCGATGGCTTTGAAATTTCTTCATCACAACTATCAGGAATTTATCAGACTATCATTTACTATTCCATTTACTCATTTTTGTTTTTTAATTAACAAAAATAAAAACATTTTGCTATTTAAATTGAAATTGAAGCCGAAATATGAGTGGGGTATAAACTAGCATTTAAGTCTTTTTTTCATGCTTTTCATATGTGGATGCTTTTTTTCTTTCAGAAATAACAGTCATAAATGTTCATAGCTCTTTGAAGAATACGAAGTCTGCAGACCACTGACATGACAAAAGCTTTACTATCATCTTTGGGCTTCAAATCTGCAGATTTCAGCTGATCTTTGTTACTGGGGATTTCTTCCTTCAATCTTCTTTTCAATTAGAAAAAAAAGGCTCAACAGGCTTTAAATCTGGTGACTGGCTTGGCTGTCACTGATAAAGCTTTGGCTGCACAGGCAATGTGCTTAATGTCACTGTATTTTTGGAAGGCCTGTTAAATGAGACAGGGGAATTGCTTCATGCATAGACACACTAAATGTTTGTGTATAATTCTGAAATGATTCTATTATAGCAGGGATGGACAATTAATTTTCCCAAGGGTCCACAGGAGAAACTGGGACTGTCGTGGAGGACTTCACCAACAAGCTTATAAAGAGATCAAATTAATACTAAGCAGAACTGAGTTCAGCTTGTTAAAATCAATTGCCCATCCCTGTTTTACTGCCACACAGAACATGCCAATAACATTTTATTAGCTCTTTCATATTTGATGAGGTTTGAATCACATGTATTCTTCAGTCTTTCTTTCACTTTCACTTTGAGAAATTTTGGTTTCATTAGTTCATTAAACATTTGCTCCAAACATGCATAATTCCAATCTAGTGGTATGCCATAAGAGGTATGAATCTCTGTTATTCCCTACAGTAAGTTTTCTTTGAACTGCAGATTGTGATGCTATCCACTCTCAAACTGTTGGTGATATCAGTGATGGTTAAGGGTTGTTGTTTGTTTTTTTTACAGCTCTCCAGATTTTTCTGTTATCAGCTGCAGTTTTTCTCCGTAGAGGGACCTGCCCTGTGTTCACTTGTTTTGTTTTGTTTTCTATAAAATTGTCCACAATGCTGTGCTAAATAGATCAATTTCCTCTGCTATCATTCCCAGTGACTGTTATTCCTCCTTATCAAAGAGGTGTCTTTTTTTGTCCTAGTCAGTTTTCCAGGTCTTTATGTCTAAGCCCTATAGAGCCACTAAATCCATTTTCAACTGAAGAAAAGCCTGAGAAAAAAAGACTGCATAGCCACTACACTTCTGTGCACTACAAACAAAGAAAATGCAAAAAATGAAACATCTCACAATCATTACTGGCATAACTTAACTAACTTAACTAACTAATAACTAACTGCTGTACAACTGAAAGTGGAGCAATGAATGCACTTTTTTCTGTGAAACAGTAAAGTACACAAACGAATTATCATAGTTGCTGTTTTTATCCAAATATTTCAGTTAAAATATAACAGAAGCATAATATTTTTCTTAACATACTTTTAGAGTATGTATTTCCCTTCCACCCTCCTTTCGTGGTATTTTATATTGTGAAACTGGGTTACTGGCTATTTGTGATGATGCATTATTTACTGTAACAGGCTAAGCCACACTAATTATTTCCATTATTTAATTTCTCCACAATTGAGGCTTTTGAAAAAGAATGATGTAAGTAGTGCAGTACAGACAAGAACAATAACATGTATGCAGTCCTGTTATAAATGGAAATGAGTAAAAACAGCAA